ATCTGTAAGAGCTGGAACTCAATAGGACTGCCTTGTTTTTCCGGGTGTCACAAATTTTCCGCCTTTGACAGGGTGCAGTCTTACCGCTTTTCTATGGCTCTCTACTAGTGGAAAATACTTGCGTTTTCCTTTTCTAACCTGTTTCCGCCTTACACATGTTCCGGCTTTTGTAGGTTTTACTGTATTAAGAATTGTTTCTGTGTCAGTGGATCTAAATATAAAAGCATAAATTCTTTTTTTTTAAATTAATTTCTGTTATAGGCAAACCCCCATGCCAGACCTTAAGCAGGAGCCTGAGACTTTCTAACCCTTCCCCCAGGTACTCCCAGCATCCTCTGCCTCTACTTCTCTGTCATAACAAGGGACAAGTGTACTTGATTCTGGAATATTCTCTAAGGGGCCAGCTCTACAAAGCGCTGCACAAGTACCACCTGTTTGCTGAAATGTTGAGTGATATGCTCATCACTCCAGCCATAAAACTGCAGTTATTGCGGAGAAAGCCTTGTAGTTTCTCCTGATCACAAGGGTTCTATGAGGACACAATTGTGTTCTAAGTCATTGCACCCTACTCCAGATGTGCCATAGGTGGTAGACTAGAAGCTGTGGGGCCCGAGGCTCTTGTGGGCAGCATGTGTGTCACTGCTTGTAGCTGGGGCACATGTTTTGATTGCTTATTTTCCTCTCAGCTAATGGCAAATGACCTTCCACAACGTCAGTTTTAGTTGCTGTTATAAAAATTATATCCCTCGCTCAAGGTCCCAAGTAAGGAGTGACCGGGGGTAGAGGTTATGAATCCCCAGAACACCCAGGGTTCGTGGCCCCAGGCCCAGGACAGCTGCTGGAGACTAAGGACAGGATGTGTGGGCCACTAGCAGGCTCAGCACACCATGATCAGTGAGTCCTTTGCCTTCCATCTTGGGGGTGGGGACAGTGCTGGTGGTGGTGGGAACTACATTACCCAGAAAGACCTGTGCTGTGAGCTGCCGGCTCTTAACCAATGAAGGCCAGGAGAGGGATGTTTTGGTTGGAAACCCTTACGTTGAATGGGACCTGTGGCCTTACTGTGATCATTTTGGCTTTAGCACTACAACATGTCTTGTGACTTCAGACAAAATTCGCATAGCCAGAGACTCAGTTTCTCCGGGTAGAGTCCCTGAGATGCACACTAGCAAGTCCGCCCCACCTATGTGATACTCAGAGAATAGAAGTGCCTCTGAGGCTGGACTGGGTACAGTAGTGCCTGCCGGTCCTGATCCGCCTAAGGGCTTCAGTGGTGCCCCAGGCCTTAACCTGCCTTGATATGGGGGATTGTGTGACCTGCATCTCTTCACTTTCCCCTTTCCCTGCTATTGCGTCTGCAGGCCCCGACAAGGGTGGCTCAGTCTAAACCAGGGTTATGTGGAGAGGTCCCCTCTGGCACCCAGTGAGATTACGAGTGAAAGGGCATCCCAGGTACAGAGACCATCATGTGCAAATAATTACAGGTGAGACAGCTGTGAATGTTCAATGAACCACAGCTCCCCTTTTTTTCTGGTGGAAACAGAGCAGAGGGACAGGGTTCATGCCTGAGTTGGCAAGCTTAGGAGCTGGGCCTCTATTCTGAGGGTAGTTGGGGCCATAAAGGGTTTGGAGCAGAGGAGGGAAGTGGTCTGACGTAGTCTTAACAGGATTCCTCTGGCTGTAGAATGGACAACAGACTGGGGGTGAGGGTGGGGTGATGATGGAGATCAGTGTGGAAATAAAGGCCACCCAAATGAAAACGAGTGAAGGCTGTTTATTAAGAGATACCTATGGCAAGGGGAGCCCTGGTGGCACACTGGTTAAACGTTCGGCCGCTAACCGAAAAGGTCAGCAGTTCGAATCCACCAGCTGCTCTTTGGAAACCCTATGGGGTAGTTCTACGCTGTCTTATAGGATTGCTATGAGTCGGAATTGACTCGATGGCAATTTTTTTTTGTTTTTATTGGCAAGGGAGTCAGCTGCTGTCACCTGCATTTGGCAGACAGGGGAATTGGAAAGCTTTATAGTGGGAAAAAGGGAAGGTTTCAGGTATGTCCTGATTGGAGTTTGTTGGCATAAGGAAGCTGCAGGCAGGCTAATGAAGCAGGGCATCCTATGTGACTGGTTAGGGGTGCATGTTTATCTTTCTTTGGTTGGTCCTAAAAGTTAGGGAAGCTGGCAGTTATTGTCCTAGTCCTGACCGTTTGGAGCTGATTCCTGCTGAGGTTGGGGTTTGGCTTCCTGGGCTGGTTGCATCAGAGGTTGTGGGTCAGTGTACTGTTTTTATACATGTCTGGTTACTGTCCACTTGTATATTCAGTCTCTCACAGGGATATCAGGAAGGAGGTTACTGCAGTAGTCCAGGTGAGTGTCGAGGGGGCTGGGCCAGAGTGGTTGCTATGGAGGTGGCAGAAGAAGTTGTTTTCTCAGTCTGTTATTCTGCTAAGACTGTTGTGGATTGAATTGTGTCCCACCAGAATATACATTGAAGTCCTGGCCCCTGTAACTGTGGATGTCATCTTGTTTGGAATTAGGGTTTTGCTTTTATGTTAATGAGGCCATGCCAAAGTAGCGTGGGTCCTAAACCTAATCCCTTCTGAGTGATGTCCTATAAAGGGGACACCTAAGGGAGAAGAGACAATGTGAGGAACATTCTACAAACCAAGGAATGCCTGGGGCTACTGACAAGGAACTGCCCTCCCCTAGAGCCCATACCCTGATTTGGATTTCTAGCTTCTAAAACTGTGAGACGATAAATTTCTGTTCTTTAAAGCCACCCATTTGTGGTATTTTTTTTGTACAGCAGCACTAGGTAACTAAGACAGACTGTATCTTCTGACGCAGATAGTAAGACAGAAGGAAATGATAACCTAAGGCTTTGGGCTTAGCAGCTAGAAGGATGGAAATGCCTTCAGCCAAGATTAGGAGGTTGTAAGGGTTATATTCAGAGGATAGGTGGAGATAGGAAGGTTGTGACTGTGGAGGGGACAGCATGTTTGTGGTAGGCAGAAAAATGGCCCCCTGAAGATGTCCATGCCCTAATCCCAGGAACCTGTGACTATGTGATTTTACATGCAAAAGACTAGAGTTGTGATTAAGTTAAGGATTGAGATGGAGAGATTATTCTGGGTTATCCAGTGGCCCCAGTGTAAATACAAAGGTGCTTATAAGTGTGAGACAGAAGGGCTGAGCTAGAGAAGGAGATTTGGCAAAGTAGAAGTCAGAATTATCTGATTGCTGGTTTGGAAGATAGACAAAGGGGCTAGAAGCCAAGGAATGCAGGCAGACTTTAGAAGCTGAAAAAGGCAAGGAAATGGATTCTCTCCTAGAGCCTTTAGAAGGAATACAACCCTGCCAGCACCTTGACTTTAGCTCAGTGAAACCCATTTTGGGACTATGACATCCAGAACTGTTAATATGTTTGTGTTGTTTTAAGCCACAAACCTGTTGCTGTCGTGTTGATTCCGACTCATAGCCACCCGATAGGACAGAGTAGAACTGCTCGATAGAGTTTCCGAGGAGCGACTGGTAGATTCGAACTGCTGACCTTTTAGTTAGCAGCTGAGCTCTTAACCACTGAGCCACCAGGGCTCCAAAGTTAAGCCACAAAGTAGCAATTTGCTATAGTAGGATTAAGAAACTAATACACTGTGCAACAGAGAACTGAAAGAGGGCAGAGGGTTAGTGGCATCACTAGAGGGGTACAGGGGGTTGTGAACCACATTGGGTGGCACCAAAATGACTATCTCAAATTTTTGTGCAGTGTTTCAGCAGTGTTTTAACAACAAAAGCATTTTTCATAAGCTCAGGTTGCATGTATTAATATATCTCCAAGGCTAAAACACTATGCTAGGTTTTTGAACCTTCTAATGCATTCCAGTCAGAGCTGTCATTATTACCCAGTTACAATGATCTTCAAATCACATGGTTTTGTCTGCATACACTGTAAGCACGTGCTCTTGTTTTCATCGCTGCTGGTGTTTTTATACTTGCTGATTCTGTCACATTTTCTGGCCTTTTTGCTTCAATATTGTTATAATTAGTGTTTGTGAACCTATATTAATAACTTTTTTGAGAATGAAATAGTAATTAAAGGAAAAGAAGGAAAAAATAAAAACAGGTTTTTGCTCGGTCATTAATAACGTAACTAATACAATGTAGAAGATTTTACAAAACAATTTTGTTGTTAATGTTCATATAATCTAAGAAATATTACATTTAAACAATTTATAACTCACATATTTTATGATTAAAATTGGCAATAAACGTTATTAAGGATTCTGTATGGTCTGGTATGAGAGGAGGTCCATGGGGGGAGGTGACACCATAAGTTACTGAACTGGGTGACACCCTAGTGACACCACTGCAGAGGTCTGCATGGTGTTCTGGGTGCCTGTGACTGAAGCAGGGAACAAGACCAGGCAGGAGGCCTTCAAAGCGGGAATGGGGGCTATCCTTAGCAGTGGGGGCCCTTGGTGAGCTGGGCAGGATGGAATCCTGATTGTACTGCCGAGCACTCTTTGGATGCCATGTGCAGAGGGACGTGTGGGGAGTCTAGGGAGGTGTGTATGGATGGGCCAGAAGGGTGGTGGTAGACAGCCAGAGATGAGAGGAGGGTGTGATCCAAAGAGTGATGTGCACAAGAGGAGGGAGTGGGGACTGAAAGTCCTAGGACCCTGTTACTGGAGGGAGCCCAGGTTTGTGCCTGAGAGGCATGATCTGGGGTACTCCAGGGGAACTGGCTAGCAGGAGAGGGGTGGGACTGTGCATGCTAAACCCAGAGCTTAGATAGCATCCATCCGCCCACCTGCTGCTGACTGTGGCTGACACAGTGATCACTGGGGTCATGAGGACAATGTGAGGACCAATGGCACTGATGTCTGTTATCTCCTCTGACTTGGAGAACAGGGGAAGTGGCTGAGCAGGGGTTGTTATGAGTGGATTGGGGGGGTCCTTGGGCAAAATATTTTTCACGGACCTTGCTGTCCTCCTCATTACAGGGCCCTGTGATCTTTGAGGATGTGTTCGTGTACTTCTCCCAGGAGGAGTGGGGGCTCCTTGATGAGGCTCAGAGACTGCTGTACCGCAATGTGATGCTGGAGAACTTTGCACTTATAGCCTCGCTGGGTAAGGCCCACATCCCCATATTGATGATGACCCCAGCGTCCTTTTCCCTTTTCCCCAGGAACTGCTCTGTCTTTTGTACAGTTGGATCACGGGCACTTCTTCCGACCCAGTTTCCTGCAATAGGTGCTGTGGTTGCCAGGCTCAGCTGTATGGAGCATCCCCACCTCTCACTGAGCAGCCCTGAAGTCATGCACTCAAGGGTTTGCAGGTTACTAGAGTTGCAGTCTGCCCAATGGATCCCATTTGGCTTGGGTACTTTCTGAGCTGGTGCATCTCTCCAGAACCATGACTCCTCTGTGCCCAAGGTTCTGCCTCCTTCCTCTAGGCCTCTAGGTAACATATTATGGGGCCTGACTGTCCCAGGAATTGCAGGCACTGGCATAATCACTATTTGCAGGGGACCATTGGGCTGTTCTTGCAAAACCTTCCTTCAAAGTTCTTTTTGTAATAGTTTTCTCACCTGTGGTCTGTCATAGCATGGGTTGCCCTGGACCAGTGCTGGCCACTCACCTGTCCTATCCTTCTCTTAGGAATTGCATCTTCCAGATTACACAAAGTCACCCAACTAGAGCAAGGGGAAGAGCCCTGGATGCCTGACCAGGTGGATATGATTCCAGCCCCAGCAAGAACGGCCCAGAGAGGACCTGGTCCTGGTGAGTGTATGCCAGGGAATGGCACAGTGTCAAAGCTGGCTCCAAATGGTCCCAGCAACATTGTCATACCAGCATTTGTTTCTGAGGCCAGTGGCCACACCACATTTCTACCTTTGTCCCCATTCTTGACACTTTGTGACATCATTTCCAGTCTGACTTCTGACCTCTGACTATCTTCCACTCCCTGGCCTTTACCTCTCCCCCACTCCTCTTCATGGCTTAGTCTGCAGTGCTCTCCAACACTGGCCTGCATTTAGTGTGTTGTGAGATGTGCCCACATCCTTAAATAGTCCTTGAACACCAGCTACTCTTTTGTCATTGGATTTTCCTGGGCCAGGACGCACCCTTCTTTACAGCACTCACCTGCCACCAGCAGCCAGGGCCCTCTTGAAAGTCATTTGCTGAGGTATGAATCAGAGACCCTGCCTCCTCTCCTACACTGCACTTGTGTCCTCACCCTCCAGGAGCCCAGCTACCTCTTTCATCATAAATGGGTCGACATACATTTATGATGGAGTTGCCCCCTCTCACCAAAGTCAACATGAACTTCACTAGAATTTCTCTGCTTTCAGGCTGTTGGCATGGAGTGGAGGAGGAGGAGACACCTTCTGAGCAAAGTGTCTCTGTAGAAGGAGTGTCACAGATCAGGACTCCCATGGCAGGTCCATGCACCCAGAAGACCCACCACTGTGACATATGTGGTTCAATATTGAAAGACATTTTGCACCCGGCTGAACACCAGGGAAGCAAAGCCAGGCAGAAACTGTATATGTGTTGGGCGTGTGAGAAGCAATTCTGGTTCAGTGCAAACCTTTCCCAGCACCAGAAGCAGCACAGTGGAGAGAAATTCATCAAAAGGGATGAGTGCAGGGACCCTGGGAAGAGCTGCAGAGTCTACATGCCAGAGGAGACCTACACATACAGGGAGGGTGGGAAGGACTTCCCAACCACCACTGGGCTTCTTCAGCCCGAGGTCCCTCACAGCGGGGTGAAGCCCCACAAGAACACCCAGTGTGGGGGTACCTTTTGCACTGGGCAAAGGCATTGCAAGTGCAGCAAATGCAGGAAAGCCTTTAGCCCCAAAGATTCACTTGTTCAGCACCAGAGAATCCACACCCTAGATAGGTCTTATGAGTGTAGTGAATGTGGGAATTTCTTTAGCTGCAACTCCAATCTTGTCCGGCACCAGAAAGTCCATACAGGAGCCAGGCCTTATATATGCAGCAAATGTGGAAAAGCCTTCAACTGCAAAGACACACTTGTTCGACACCAGAGAATCCACACTGGAGAAAGGCCCTATGAGTGTAGCGAATGTGGGAAACTCTTTAGCCAAAGCTCTGACCTTTTTAAACACCAGACAGTTCACACTGGTGAAAGGCCTTATGAATGCAGTGAATGTGGAAAATTCTTTAGACAAATCTCAGGCCTTACCGAACACAGGCGAGTTCACACAGGTGAAAGGCTCTATCAGTGTGGTGAATGTGCGAAATTCTTCAGTAGCAAGTCTAACCTCATTCGACACCAGGAAGTTCACACAGGAGCAAGGCCCTATGTCTGCAACGAATGTGGGAAAGAGTTCAACCGCAAACACACACTTATTCTGCACAAGAGAATTCACACTGGAGAAAAGCCTTATGTGTGCAGTGAATGCGGGAAAGCCTTTAGCCAAAGCTCCCACCTTATTGTACACTGGAGAACTCATAGCAGTGACTATGAGTGCAGCAAATGTGAGAAAGCCTTTAGCTGCACCTCCAAACTCATTCAGCACCAGAAAGTCCACACTGGAGAAAAGCCTTATGAGTGCAACAAATGTGGGAAAGCCTTTACCCAAAGGCCAAACCTTATACGACACTGGAAAGTTCACACTGGAGAAAGGCCTTATATATGCAGCGAATGTGGGAAAGAGTTCAATCGCAAACACACACTTGTTCTGCACCAGAAAATTCACACTGGAGACAAGACTTCAGTGCAGCAAATGTGGAAAATCATTTCACCAAAGCAACCATCTGGAGAAAGGGCTTAGCAGTGCTGTCTCCTTGTTCAACCTAACAACTCACCCAACTCAGAGTGAAGCTCTGAGAGGTGTTTTCTTTGGGGTGGAGGGAATTAGTCAGTAGTGGAACCTTACACATGAACATCCACACTGGGGAGATTCCCTGTGAATACCGAGTATGTGAGATGCTCTCAGAAGCTCAGTTGCACTTTCTAAACCACCAAGGGCCTTTACCAGAGCTATGGGACTGCTAGTACCTGTGGCAGACACCATCCTGTCTCTCCCACCTGGCCAAGTCCCACAGTGTGTGTCAGTCACCCCAGCATGCTTAGGGCAGGCGGACTCCCTGTGCTGTCTGCCTAGTCCTAGAAATCATGAATGGTCTCATGGCACTTTGGGAGCCTTCATTTCCTCCCATCTGTCTGGTTTAGTCATGGAAATAATCAGCTTTGTCCCAGAGGATACAAGATGGGCTCTGCAGGTGGCTTACAGAGGTTTACCGACTTCGTAGACATTTTTGGTTTCATGTGATGCTCATTAAGGATGTATCCAGCTTCCAAGTACTCAGCCCTGGAACTGTCTGCCTCCCATTGCTCTTATTTGTGTGATAATAAAGGCTGTATTGTTTAAACCTTCTTTAATCTGGGAGGTTCTCTTCATTATGTGGACAGTGCTGTGAACAGAATTGTGTTCTGCCAGCTTTTATGGGAGTCCCCAATCTTCTGTGCCTCAGATGGGAACACTTCAGTTTTGACCTAATTTGCATTGCTGCCCGAGGCCTAGAGAACTCTGCAGGGTTTCATCAGAGTAATTATGTGGCCTGGATGCTAAGATAACTGGATGCCAGCATATTTGTTGGCCCAGAGGTAACCATGAGGAGGTGATATAAAAACATCTTGGTTTTAAGACCTTTAGAAGTAGAAACCAACTGAGGATTTGGATTTTAAGCTGTTTCCCAAAATACTCATTAGTATTTTCTGAGCATAGTGGGTAAACTATCTTTCAAATGGAGAGAAAAATGGTCTAGGAATACCCTAAGTTGAGAAGATGCATGTGGGCTTCACATGGTATTTATAGTAAGAAACAGCAACTTTCATACAAATGAACTAAATAACGGAAATTAGCAAATAGATGACAAAAATTATTGCAGAGTAGATCTGATTTTTGGTAACAGTTCATAATTCAGTACATTGAAAATATCGTTTATGTTTGTATATCTTCATCTGATTAAACTCATTAAATAGATGGAAAACACTATAGTAAAGACAACAGTTTTGTTCCAAACACTCAACCAGTCAGAACTGCCTCAATATAGGAATGAGTACAACTCACAGTATTCCGAAGTCTTCTTTCTCTATCCTAAATGTATGCACGGTTATCCTTCGATACTGTCAGTGAGTTCTATATCAGCAAAAAAAATTTTTTAAAGCCTTAGCTTGAAGAGATATATAAGTTCATGGATGCAATCGTTATCACTTTGAAAATCCCATGTGACTATAAATCAACTGGTGTAAAAGTTGAGGAATTTGGCTTGGAGTTTTACATTTCATCCCACATCTTTTAGAATCCAAAAATAGCTCCAATTCACCAGAGTTTAAAGCAAGTTCAGTTGTAATTAGGTTTTGACTAAATCTGTTTTCTTTAAGTGGGTTGTAGGATCTCAGCACGGTTGGAGTAACGGGGTCTGACTTAACACTCCTGCCATAAATGACTATAAAATTGGTCAGTATACACGGAGCCACTGCTTGGGAGAAGAAAAACGTAGCGGGTGAGCTCGCATTCCTCCTTGCCTCCTGCCAGGGAACTTTCCAAAGCTGCTGTGGGCAGAAGAGCCCAGAGAGCAGAGTGGAAGCGACAGAGATCAGAGCCCAGGGCCTCGGAGGCAGCTGGAATCTGTGCAGCGGCCTCCTAGAAAGTGGGATATGGGCAGAGAAAAAGTCCCAGAAGTCTTCATGGGGTGCCCTGGGTATTTGATGGGAAACAAAGCTGTGCTTGTGCAGGGAGAGACTCCACAAAGCCTGCTAGAGAAGGGCCGCAAGGGCTGAGAGCTGGATGGAGGTTGCAGAAGCCACACAGAGCAAGAGACAATAGAATCCCGACTGGCCAGAGGGGAGAGGCTCACCTGAACAGCCAGGGCCTTCAGTGGAGACTCCAGAGAAGCCCCACGCAGTAGGAGTGACACGTGCCCTAACACACGCTCTAGGAGCAACACGTGCAGTAACACAAGCATTAGGAGTGACATGTGAGTAGCACATGGGCTTCATCTGCGAGGAGCAGCCCTGGGCTTCAGCTGTAGCTTTAAGCCAATGAAGGCGCAGAGGACGTTTCTGTTCATGCACACAACGTTGGGGCAGGACTTCTGGCGTCATTCTTGTGGCATTCATCTTGCTCACCAACTTGTTCGCCTGAGGCTCTGGGGTGAACGAGGTGACGGGACCTAGAAGGTGCAGAAGGAGGCATTGTCACCACTGCACAGAAGCGGTTCTGAGGATCGGCGGTGACCCCCGCCTCCAGGACCTGGCTGAAGAATTCAGTGCCCAGGTCCCACCCATCGCCCGCAGCTCCCGGGGCCCCGCTCCGCCCACAGGCTCGTGGCCGCTGCGCTGAGGGACCCGGCTCTAGTGAGTGAGGGTCCTCCAGGTCGCTCCGTCCTGAACCACATCTTCTGATCCTCCAATCTCAAATAGGGCGGCTTCTCAAGTCCCTGCAGCCCAGGCCCTGGTCCTGCACAAGGACCAAGGTCCTGCTCGTGGTGGAGACCCCGTTTCCTGAGAACTAGTGGGATGAGGGGTAGGGGTGAGCCCCTGGCAGAGGGTCCGACAAGGGTAAAGCCTGGAGGTGCACCTGAGCCAGAGCAACAAGAAAATCTGGGGTCCATCCTGTGTCTGCAGGGAACAGTGTGTTAGGAATTGCCCCTGGATGGCAAGCTGGGGGGTTGTGCCTTCATTCTCGGACGCTGGGAGCCATGGAGGGTTGTGAACAGAGGAGGAACCCAGTGTAATTTAGGCTTTTAAATGTTTAACAAAAGTTGCATAGGAAGGTTGAATTCTTGTGGAAATTCACAGCTGGGAAGAGGCAACAGTAAGGACTGAGGCCCAGAGATAATGTACTCAGCCCAAGTTCACCTTGTTCCAGGGTGGGGCAGCGGTACAGGAAGCCCCCGGCTCAAGGAACTCTGCAAATATCTCTTGCTTCTCATGACTTCCCTCTTAGTCCCACAGCCTCCCATGGGTGCAGAAGCCCTTAAGGACTCTATACAAGTGAGTGCAAGGCATCCCAGGGCCTCACTGGTCCTGACCCCACCTATGTGGTCTCTGGGTTTCTGGTGTCCTGGGACTCTTCACCTGCCATTTTTCTAGCCATTGAGTGGGCATCCTGAACAAACTCCAAGCCCAGGGTCCTAAGTTCAGGCCAGAGGCTCTATGGAGTGATTTCTATTACTGGCAACCAATGGAATGAGGTGTGGAAGGTTGTTCCAGGCATAGTACCGGTATGTGCAAATACTTGGAGGGGAAGCTGAGCTGGTTGTGTTCAGGGAATTGCTGATTCTCAAGGGATCACAGAGCAGTGGGCAGGAGTCAGACTGGAATGGCTTCCTGAGAAGTTGAGCGACTATTCTGAAGGTGATGTGAGCAACAGGAGGTTTGGAGCAGGGAGGGAGGTGATCTGACCCAGGTCTCATCCAGGGCTTCAAACCAGTTTGTTCCAGGTGATTCTGGGGATCTTGTTAAAATGTAGATTCTGATTCAGTATATCTGTGGTGGAAATACAAATTCTCATTAGGGGTTTGAACCCAAACGAACCAGTTCGAAGCCCTGGTCTCATCAGGCTCCCTGTGGCTGCAGCATGGGGACCAGACTTTGCATGTGAGGGGGGTGGTAGCCAGACCAGAGAGGAGGCTACTGCAGTAGTCTAGGTGCATCTTGACAGTGGCTGGACCACTGTGGTGGCTGTAGGGGTGGGAGGAATGGTTGGATTTGGGATCTGTTTTTTAAATACGGCTGCCTGGATTTTTCAATTTTACATGTTTGTGTGAGAGAGAACGAAAGGTAGATGTCAGGGATGACTCCAAGATTTTTAGTTTTAATAGCTGAAAGGATGGAAGCTTCATCAACTGAAACGGAGACATCAGTAATAAGAGTAATTTTGATTGGGGATCTCAGGCGTTTTCTTTTGGCCATGTTAAAAGTCTTAGATTTTCAGGGAACAAATGAGTGGAAATACCAAGTGGGCATCTGGATATACAGGTCTGGAACTCTGAGGAGAGGTTCAGAGGAGACACCTCCAAAAGATGGCAGACAGTGTGTGGACCAGGATAGAGCAGTGGGTCATATTAATAAGGGGGAACCTGGGTCATGATTGTAATGCTAATAGCATGCCAGGAAGGGGAGGGTGGGACCCGAGGGTTGGATCTCTTGCTTGGGCACATTGTTGAGGTGGTTTTTGTCACAAACAGGTGAGGAAGAGAGGTGGCCATAGGGATAGTATGGGAGAGAGCATGATTTGACAGGTGGCCCGACAGACTTCCACAGCATGATTGGATGAGACGTAACTGAGGTAAGATGACAAGGAGGTCGAGGCTGGTGCTTATTCACTGCTCTGTGAATACACTAGGATTTTCTTGTGACCCTTCATGGAGTCTGAGGTGACGTATTAGCTTAGGGGCAGAGGTAGTCATTTGGGAGAGACACTAGGCCAAGGATGGAGGGTCGGCTTTGAAGGAGGCTTAGGTGGAGAGAGGAAGGCTTTGATGGGTTAGGGGATAGCAAGTTCAACACAAGTTGTGGGGGGCATGGGCCTCCCTCTTCTACAGGTAGAGTTCCTGGTGACTGTGGATGAAGCAAGGATCGGAGTCAGGCAGAGAGGCTTTCATAGGGGGATCATTGCAGGCCAGGAGTAGTACTGAATCCTGTTTGAATTTGACAGGCACACTCTGGAGTTGTAGGGCAGGAGGGGGAGTAGGCTGTGGGAGTGCAGAGTGGGAGAGAGTGTGAGAAGAAGAGTGGTGTGCTTGTGGAGACTAGTGTGAACTGATGGCCCATGGCCCTGTGTTGTGGATCTAAGGGTGAAGATAAGTCTGTATTTGGTTGTTTCTGAGAGGCAAGATCTGGGAGTTCCCAGGGAACTGCCTGACGTAAGGGTGCACATGTGGCCCTGCATGTCAGATCTAGACTTTAGATCTCGTCTCTGCCCACCTGTCTTTTGGTGCTGTCAGTTGACACAGTGATCAGTAGGACCATGAGGAGAATAGACATTAGTGGCATCAGGACCTGGTATCTCCTCTGAGGTGGTGGCTGGGAAGGAGGGTGAGCAGGGGAGGTATATGGGGGAACAAACTGGGAGACCTAGCAGAAAAGCTAATCATGGAATGAACTGTTTTCCCCATCATGGCATGGCTGTGTGACCCATTGAGGATGTGGCCATTGACTTTTTTCAGGAAGAGTGGGGGCTCCTTGATGAGGCTCAGAGGCTGCTGTACCTAGATGTGAAGCTGGAGAACTCTGCAATTATAGAGTCCCTGGGTAAGACCCTCACACTCACACCAGTGTTCTGAGCTAGTCTCTGCATTTCCTCTTTTCCCCAGAGACATCTCTGTTCTTCCACAGACTGTGGGCTCTGCTACCTTTCCCACTCCTTTGGCTTATTTGCTGTGGGTGCCAGGGCTGAGCTGTGTGTACTGCTCTGAGCAGCCCCCAAACCTACTGCCCAAACCCTGCAAGGAACGGCTCTGGAGTCAGGAGTCTTACAGTCAGCCTAATGGAGCTCACCTTGATTGCCCTACTGGCAGAGTGACTATGTCCACATCCACAGCACCTCTGTGTCCCAAGCTCTGCTCCCTTCCTCTAGCTGACATTTCTTCGTGGCTTCATAATTACTCCTTATGTGGATCAGGGGCTGTTTTTGCGGGACCCTTCCTGGAGGCTTTTTTTTTTATGTTAGTTTTATTTACTCTAGGCTTTTGTGTGTGAGTTGCTCTGGGCCAATGCTGGCCACTGCCCTGTCCTGTCTTCCTCTTAGGACTTGTAGCAGCCTGTAGTTCGCATGTAGTCACAGAACTGGGGTGGGAGCACAGCCCTGTTGCTTCACAGAGTGAACATGAAAGATGGGCTCAGAGGAGGTCTGGCCCTTATGAATGGCAGTGGGGGAGGGCACAACAGCAGGGAACAACAACGATCAGACTGTATCAGGAAGCTTCCCTGTGTCTACCAGTGTTTTGGTGAAAATGGAGTTGGTCACACCTCATTTCTACCTCTTTTTCCCATTCTTGACACTTTGCTGACTTGTCATTTCTACTGAGATTTCCAGCACCTGGGCGCCCTACCTTTCTGTCCTCCACATGTCACCTGATCTTCTCCACTACTCCCTCTGCAGCATTCCCGAACACTGGCCCACACGTCATGAGGTGTGCACATATCCTTAAACAGTCCTTGAGTGCCAACTATTTGGTTCCAATTGGATTTCCTGAGCACAGCTAACCCTGTGCACATCATATGTTCATCACCAGCAAAGCCCTGCTAAAGGCTGATGGCAGAGGAATGAGTTAGAAACTCTGCTTCTCCTCCCTGAACTACACTCCATTCTTCTGTCCTTTGTCCAGTGAGTCCTCCCCAATTCTGTGATAGTTGGAGGGCCACTACTTCAAGGAGCCCCTTCCTGAACCTGCTCCCAGCATCTCAAAATAATCCCATGGACTCATTCTTAGGTGTGTCTGACACACATTTTTTATAGGGACTTCCCCCTCCCACCAATGTCAGCATGCATCTCATTGGCATTTCTCTGCTTCCAGGTTGTTGGCATGGAACAGAGAAGAAGGTGTCTTCTGAGCAGAATGTGTCTGTAGGAGTGTCACAGGTCAGGAATCCACAGACAGGTCCATCCACCCAGAAGACTCACCCTGTGAGAAATGTGTTTCAGTCTTGAACATCATGTTGCATCTGGCTGAGCACAAAGCAACAAACCCTGGGCAGAAGCCATACTTGGGTGAGGCATGTGTGGGAGCCTCCAGACTCATGCAAACCTTCCCCATGACCAGAACCATCACAGTGGAGAGGAACTCTTCAGGAGGGACATTGACAGGGCCTTGATTGTGAACAGCTGGAGATTCCAAGTGTCAAGGCAGTCCTTCACCTGTGGGGAGGTTGGGAAGGACACCCGGGCCCCCTGGGCCTTCTCCAGTACCAGGCCACTCTCATTAGTGAGAAGACACACAGCAACATTGAGTGTGGGCAGGTCTTTCACAGTGGAAAAAGTCATTACAAGGGGGGTGAGTGCTGGAAAACTTCTAGCCACACATACTTGTTCACCACCAGAGTGCCTGCAGTGGAGAGGGACTTTATGAGGGTAGCAATGTGGGAAAGCCATCAGTTGCAATTACAGACTTGGTCAGCAGCAGGGAATTCACAATGGAGAAAGGCCTTCTGAGTGTGGTGAATGTGGGAATTTTTTTAGCCATCTCCAGCCTTATTAAACACTGGCGAATTCACAGTGGTGCAAGGCCTTATGGGTGCAGCAGATGTGGAAAATTCTTTGCATACAAAGCCATCCTCATAAAACACCAAAGAGATCATACAGGAGAATGTCCTTATAAGTGCAATGAATGTGGGAAATCCTTCAGCCATAGCTCCACCCTCATTGAACACCGGAGATTTCACACTGGAGATAGAACTTATGAGTGCACTGAATGTGGAAAATGTTTTGGGAGAAATAGCAACCTTATTGCTCACAAGAGAATTCACAGTGGAGAAATGTCTTTTAAATATAGAGAATGTGGGAAATCCTTTAACTAAAGTTCTAGCTGCATAAGACACTGGAGAGTTCACACTGGAGGAAGATCTTATAAGTGCAGCGAATGTGGGAAATCCTTTAGCCGGAGACTTGCCCTCATTGAACACTGCAGAGTTCACACTGGAGATAGACCTTATGAGTGCCCTGAATGTGGAAAATGTTTTAGGAGAAACTGCAACCTTATTGCACACAAGAGAATTCACAGTGGAGAAATGCATTTTAAATGTAGTGAATGTGGGAAATCCTTTAGGCAGAGCTCTATCCTTATTTGACACTGGAGAATTCACACTGGAGAAAGGCCTTATGAGTGCAGGGAACGTAGGAAATCCTTTAGTCAAAGATCTGGCTTCATTCAACATCAGATTTCACATAGAAAAAGGCCTGAGATGTGCCGGGAATGTAGGATGTCCTAATTCAAAGTAATGACAATTGAGTAGAACCTTTGTGAGGGACTGATCTACCTGAATTGACCATCCTACACGAACATTCCACAGAAGGGAGATTCCCCATAAGTTCCAGTTATGTAACAAGTTTTAAGAAGCTGCACTGCACTTTCGAAACTGCCCAGGACTTTTTCCAGATTTTTATCATGTCCAATTTCTATAAGTTCTTTCACTTCTACCACTGGAAAGTCTGCAGTGTGCATCTGCCATCACCCCAAGGTGCTCAGGGAAACAGACCTCTATCCTATTTCCTGGAGGAAATCAAGAGTATGAGCCCTTGGGGGGTGGGGGTTCATTCTCCCTAGCTAGTTAGGACATGAACCTGACCCAGTTTTGTCCCTTAAGACCTGATCAGAGTTGTCACCCTGCAGAGAAGTACTACCTCTTTCAGGAACATTGTTCATCTCATGTGATGCTTGTCATGAACTTTTCAAACCTACAAGTCACCAACTCTAGCACTGCCTGCTATACATTGCTAAATTTGTACAATATAAAGGACTTTTTGTTTACACACCTTTAATCTTGGGGGTTCCATTCACTTGTGGGATAGTTTGAAAGTGGAATTGGGTTCTGCCAGCATGAAGGGTGAACTTTTTTGGGGACCCTGAGCTTGTATGCCTCAGAGTGACAGAATAATGGCAGAAAATATCTCCCTAGTTTAGGCCTAATTTCCATTGCTGCTTATGGCCTCAAGAAAAACTGCAGGGCTTTGTGGCCCTAATTTGTGGCTTGGCTGTCTAGTGTTTGTGGGTTCTAAGGTCACTATGCAGAGGGAGCAGTTGTTACAACCTCTAGTGCTTCTGGAAACAACAGGCCTTTTTTCCTTTCACCACAGTGTGTATCACATAATGCCCAGCACTGTTGAGAGAATCTTCCCCAAGTCCTCCAAAGGAGCCATGGGCCCTGATGTCCAGAATCCAGTAGATGGGTGTCACTGGCTGTAAGACTACAGGGGCTGGGGGGCACTGTGATTGCTCCCATGAATAAATAGGGCATGCAGGAGGCTGCAGCAAATGACATGGTGTGTGCCTCTTCTAAAAGTGCTTCCACATATGTCCCAGTGACTATGTGTGCACAGCAATTCTCAAGACCCCCAGACCTGTGTGTCTTATGTAGCTGAGCTTATTGTCAGGGGAAATAAAGGCTTTGTGGATTCCCATAGCCTCTGAACTGTTCATCTCAAGGTCGTTGTGGCAAGGCAGGAAACCAAGGGTAGATATTCCAGGCACTTGGAATTCTGTCATTCCTGTTGACTCATTTGGAAATGGCCTTCATTGCTCACCAATATTTGCTGTCACGGAGGCAAGGCTGCCCCTCCCAGGGCATGAGGGGAGAGATGGAGTCAATATAGGCTTGCCAAACCGGATTTTCCAGAGTAGGTGATCTACATTTTTATTTTGAACCATTTTTAAAAGCTTTATTAAGGTGTAATTGATATGCAATAAAGTACACACATTTAAAGTACACTTTTTAATTGTGGAAAAATATATATTACAACATTTGCCAATTTCACGTCTTTTACATGGACAATTCAGTGACACCAATTATGTCAATCATGTGCAACATCACCGGTATCCGTTGCCAAATTTTCCATCACCATAAACAGAAACTCAATGCTTCCTCAACAATGACTCCCCTTTTCCTTCTCCCATCTCTGGTAACCACTAATAAACTTTGGTCTCTATACATCTCTATACATTTTCCTATTCTAGATATTTCTTATAAGTGAGATCATTATTTGTCCTTTTGTGATTGACTTCACTCAGCACGATGTTTTCAAGGTTCATCCATGTTGTAACATGCATCAGGACTTCATTTCTCTTTATGGCTGAGTAATACGATTTGCTAAGTTTTGACATACATATAAATTCATGAAACCATATAATCATGATAAGACAGTTATGGTTGCTCAAGGATAGCTTCCAGTAGGGGGAAGGAATGTTCTTGCTGATTACCACCATTGTTTCAGTGATCTGTATTTTTCCTTGAGGCATGGGAAGGAGCAGTCCAGGGCTGAATGAGGGAATCGGGAGGACAAACCAAGGGGACTGGGACATGGGGAAGGCCTCAGTGGGCAGTCCCAGTCCCTCAGTGTCTCTCACAACATTCACAATATCAACATTGATAACTGGGTGATAGCTCAGTATGGGAGCACGGAGTACAGGGTGGATCCTGAAGCAATATTTAGGAGGAAGATCAACAGGACCACGGGAATGATTCACTGTATATGGTGGCGGGGGACAGGGACAGGCCTGAGGTGGCATCCACGACCCTGTTCAGTCTTGAACATCATGTTGCATCTGGCTAAGCACAAAGCAACCCTGGGCAGAAGCCATACTTGGGTGAGGCGTGTGTGAGAGCCTCCAGACTCATGCAAACCATGTGAAGAACATACACCAGAGGAAAGTGAGTTTGCGAGGAAGGAAATGCACATCCCTCTGAATGACCTCATAAAGAATGTATGGAAAGATTTGGACAATGAGGGAACAAACCCTTAGGGCTCCTTCATCCACTGGGAAGCACAATGCTCCTGCTTTGGGAAAAACGGGAACCCTCTGCTGAGAACATTATCTATGTAATTGTGGTGCAAATATGCACAAAACATTTGCCAATTCAACAATTTCTACATGCACAATTCAATGACATTTACACTCTTCATGTTGCACAACTCTTGTCCCCATCTTTTTCCTAATTATTCTACCACCATTAATGTAAACTCAGTGCCCTCCAAGCAGAAACTCACCCTTCTCCCCTCCCTCCCACTCCTGCTAACCACTAAGTTTTGATTTCTATATATTTGCTTATTTTATGTGAGGTCATACAGTATGTCCTTTTGAGACTGATTTATTTTGCTGTGTTTCATCTCTGTTGTGACATACATCAGGACTTCATTTCTCTTTACAGGTAATATTCCATTGTGTGTATGTACCACATTTTGTTTATCCACTGATGGACATTTTGGTGGTTTACAACTTTTGGCTATTGTGAAAAGTGCTGTACAAGTTTTTGTGTTCTTGCTTTCATGTCTTCTGGGTATATACCTAGGATTGGGATTGCTGGGTCATATGGCAGTTCCATGTTCAACCTTTAGAGGAACCGACAGTTTTCAACAGGGGCAATACCATTTTACATCGCCACCAGAAATGGATGAAGGTTCCAAATTCTCCACATTCTCTTCAACACTTTTTTTTTTGTCACTGCCATTCTAATAGGCGTGAGATGCTATCTCATTGTGGTTTTGATTTGCATCTGCTTCCAATTTACAGCCTTGGAAACCCTTTGGGGGCAGTTCTACTCTGTCCTATAGGGTCGGTATGAATCGAATCGACTTGAAAGCAATGAGTTTGGTTTTTTGGTTTTAATGGCTAATGATGTTGAGTAAACCAAGACGTTTTGGGAGGGGGTTTTCACTAACTTTCTCAAACCCAGGGACTAAGGTATAGTCACAGCTACAACACAGAAGGCCCTCCTGAGTGAGGACACAGAAAGGTACCGTCCTCAAGAGGCATCTCACTTTCCCAATAATAGAAAACTATACACACTGTATTCAAAATCATTATAGAGAAACCCTATTAACTCATTGGGGGCAGTGGTGGTTCAGTGGTAGAATTGCCTTCCATGCAGGATATCTGGGTTCAATTCCCGGCCAGTGCACCTCATGGGCAGCTACTACCCATCTGTCAGTGAATGAAAGCTTCAGTTTTTGCTACGACGCCGAACAGCTTTCAGAAGTTGAGACTAAGACAAACTAAGAAGGCCTAGTGATATAAGATCACAAAGGTCCAATCTGCAACCAATCATGGGGATGGTGCAGAACCGAGTAGCATTTTGTTCCATTGTGCCTGGGGTCACCAAAAGTCTGGGGCCAACTTGATGGCAGCTAACAAACACATTAACTCATTGAGAAGTGCATCCATAGTAAATGTGTGGATAAAGCACCTCAAAGAGGTACATGCCCACTCATTGTAAAATATGTGGTCACTGAAAAGGCTCTGGGGCAGGCTCAAAGTGAGGATATTATTTTTTTTGTCTATACAATAATTTTTTTACCTCATGTAATACCAATAATGCAACTTGAAATCCAAACTCAAAATACAACCTCAAAGGAGGAATTCCAAAATACCCAACTGATGACAGCACTGAGAGATTAAGTCCATGGTGGTGACTGTGAAATCCATATGAACCTGCATGGACACTCCTGGTCCACTTGTTCAAATCCTAGGCACTTTATTTTGCAGCAATACTTCACATAAATCTAAGAATAAACAATGAAAATTCTGCTCCATGTTTCTTTTTCTAAGTTTATCATGAATTTAACTGAACTGTGCTTTATATTGCTTGTTTCAACTCTGAGGGGGACTTGGAGATATCCCTCTACACAGGAGTAAAGAAACTGAGAAACCACTGTAAGAAGAATTAGGACTCACCTGGGGGAGGCAACACAAGTACAAATCTGCCAAGAAAACAAAACAAACAAGTAGAATGGAATCAGGAAAAAGAGTGTTGGGCATTAAAAACCTATGCCCAATAGATGAATAAAGCATTTATTTATAAAAATCAAAGCCTTTAACAGACTTATGTCATGCAGTAAAATGTGGCCATCAACATGTGGATCCTTGAGTATTTCATGACTCAAGCCCCCACCTTTGACTTAGCTTCTCATAGGTAGGAAAAAATAATGTCTGGAACAAAGAAGACTGTTGAGCTGCACTCCACTGTCCAACTCTCCTGACACAGGATGGCAGTGAATGGATATAAAAAATACATAAACGGGATGAGACCCCCCAATACTCCTTAAACACTGCCCACTAAAATATAAAAATCAATGACATATTTCAACAGGCTTTTTAGAGAAGTCTGAAAGAGTTTGTAAAGGCATTTTTTTTTCTTTTATATTGTCCATCTCCTCCTCTTCCTTCTCTCTCTTTAAAAATATTTCTGAGTTGCCTTCCTAGTAACCAAGGGAAGACCTGGAACTGGAGATATTTTCTAAACTCACAGTAACCACTGGTTCTTCCTTCTGTATGAGACTAAAGCCCAGACTGTGTCC